ATGGTTGGCCAGGGGCGTCGGTCGCCCTTGAGTGGAACGCGCGCGACGGCCGCGTCGGGGAGATGTGGAAGCGGGCGCAACCACCCGCACCAGGGCCACAGCGCAAGGCGCTCAAGGAGCAGAACGAGCTGGCAAAGCGGCGGGACACGGCATTCGAGAGGGCAGACATCCCCGCTATCGACCCCGAGGGGGAGCAGGGCAGCGAGCAGGTCAAGGGCAAGGGCAAGATCATGCGCAAGCCAGCCAAGAGCCAGCAGAGCCAGCGCAAGGCCAAGGCCAAGGCCAAGTCCAAGGTACGCGGCGGCAACTGAGAAGGGAGAGCCCATTTGCCATTCAATTCTAATGAGAGGCGATGACTGCCGGCGGCTAGCACCACGGAAAACCACAAGTTCTCGAGCGCCTGATCCAGGCGGCGGCGAAGCGGATTTCGCTGGGACCCATGGGGGAATGAGCCGGGGCAACTGCCAGTCAGACTGGCCCCCCCTGAGTGCGGACTGGGAGCCGGATTAAGGGGCCCTCGCTGCCAGTGCGGCACACCTTCGCTTGGGAAATGTTTCGAGGTTTTCATTGAGGCTCAGTTGGCCACCATCATTGCGGCGCGCATTGCGCGAAAATCGACCGCAGCCGTCGTCGTCGTTCGTCGTCGCCGTCGTCGTCACCAAGAAGCGCGTGGCGCTCATTCTCCTCGCCTCCAAGCGCTTTCCGCTCTCACCCACCTCCCCCGCAGTCTACCTCCCCCAAGCGCGTTGCACTGCGAAAGTGCGTTGCAATATAAATGGCGAGGGTAGGGTGGATGAGGGCAGCTGCAACCGCCCGACCACCCGACCGCCCGATAACGCCCCGATAACACCTCGACCGCCCCGGTAACACCCCGATTGCACCCCGATAACACCCCGCGCCACCGCACGGTTACACCCCGATAACAACTCGATAACATCCCGAAAACACCCCGATATCACTCGATAGCAATGCTATCGAAATATTGCCGAGGTGTTATCGAAGTGTTATCGAGTGCAATCGAGTGTTATCGAGATCGATAACACGCGATAGCACCTCGATAAACCTGTTACAATGTCATCGACATGCTACCGAGGTGCTATCGAAGTGTTATCGAGTGTCATCGAGCTCGATAACACTCGGCAGCACTCGATAATACCTCGATAACACTCGGCAACACTCGACAATACCTCGATAACACCTCGATAATATGACGATAACATGGCTATCGCGTGTTATCGGGGTGTTATCGGGATGTTATCGAGGTGCTATCGGGGTGTTATCGGGCGGTCGCGCTTTCGTTTGTTTAGCGTCCAAGCTGTCGCTGAGCTGTCGCTGCACTGCCGCTACGCTGCCGCAGAAGCGCGTGAGCGCTTGCCAGATGGCCGTCGCATCAGAGGCCGCTGCTGCGCAGCTGTCGCATCAGAGGGCGTGTAGCAGGCCTCGCATCAGAGGCCTTCCGCGACATGCTGCATGGTTCGGTTAACGACGTCTCTCGAAGCGGCAACGACATTGCACTCGGCCCTGAATGTGTTCGCGATCCCCTCGGCTGCCATCTGGCAGCGCCGACACGCTTCGCCCGCTCGCCCCATGCTTCCACGCAGCTCAAGCAGTATGTCCATCTCCACCCTGGCCGCGCTCCTCAACCCCCGAGCACCGATGATGGGTTGCAGCGCTCCGTCGTCTAGGCCGACCTGCAGGCTCGGAACGGGGATGTTTCTCATTGCCCCGGCGTGACTGGCTATCTCACCGACCGCAGAGGTCAGCCGCCGGATCTGATCGTTCATGCCATAATTTTCCTTGCTCTTGTCCTTGTCCTTGTCCTTGTAGCCCTTGCCGTTGCCTTTGCCCTTGCCCTTGTCCTTGTCCTTGCCCCTGCCCCGAACGCCTTGGGGGGGATCGCTGGCCCTGCTTCTTGACCTGCGCCGACGTGGGGGCCGGGGGATCTGCTGCCCCGTGCGCCCGGGGACCTGCTTCTCGACGGTGGGGGAGAGGTTGGCGGCCACGGGGCAGGGTTGGCCTTCTCGCGCTGCCTTCTGTAGACCTCTCTGTCATTGTAATTCCCCAACACTATCTCTGGACCCACCTCCTGATTCAGGATCAAGCTCGCCGATTCGTCGCTCAGGTCATGAAGACTACTCATCATCAAATGATGCTTGACGTATCACAGCACCTGATCTCGACTCCGGCACGACCAGGCATTCACCTTGCTCCGCGAAGCTGCCCCGCATTCATCACTCCTCGGGCATGCAGAGACTCTCCACCAATTACGCGCGTACCCTTGTTCGTCGTCTTCACGGTCCAACCATGGATTCTCCTCATTCTTCTCGGGGAGGAGATGAACAATGGCGCCTGCTGCCGCGGTCGCCTCGTCTGCCGCTCGAGCGGCGCAAACTTCTGCCCCTGCGGGCGGGTTGCTTGCAGCCTTCAAACGGCTAAAGCGCAAAACGCTTTAGCCGTCGCAGCGTGCATCGCTTTGGGCGGCACGAGATGTTTTGGGCACGCGGCAGTAGATTCGACGCACCCAACGATCATGTGGTAAATTATGCGTGTGCAACATGATACATATGCAACGCGGGGCGCTGTCTGGTCTACATGGTAACCACGTTCTAACACACAGGCTGTTTCAGCCCCTGCCCCACAAGCGCACTGCGCTGCCGAGCGACTGGGCCACCCTCGAGCGCACTGAGCCCCAAGCGCACTGCGCTGCCGCAAGGCTAGGCCACCCTCTCAAGCGCACTGCGCTGTCCAGCAAGGCCATGGGCCACCCGCAAGCGCACTGCGCTCGCTGTGCAGCAATCACTGTCACCATGCGCGCTCGCGCTGTTAGTTTCTTTCCGATAGCCATTTTGTTGCGCGGAGCGCGGCGCGCTGCGCTTCGTTGCAATATATATATATATATATATATACATACACATATCGCTCGTCCTATCCACATCGCTTGGAAAATGGCCGGTGCCGCTGATCAGCACAAGACTCGACTCGTCGCGAAGGCCGCTGCGCAGGAGCATACCATCAAGGAGCTGAAGGCCACGATGAGAAGGCAGAGACGCGTGATCAACCGCATCGCGGACATGGCTGGGGGGCATAGGGCTGCGGAACGGCTGAGGGCAGAGGCGCGCGAGCAAAAGCGGCAGCGGGCAGAGGCCAACGCTTTGCAGCAGGAGCTGCAGAGGCAGGGGGGGCGGCGGCAGGAATGCCTGAGGATGAGGGTGGCTGAGCAGAGGCTGTGGACGGAGATGGCCCACAACCGTTTGGCCGCAGAAGCGCGCGAGAGGGGCGAGACGCCTCCTTTTCGCAAGCGGGCCTCCGGGGCAACCGGTGAACTGACTGTTGCTCCCGGCCTCAATCAGGCGACTGCTGCGGGCGATGGCGACCGCCAAGGGGATGGCGACCGCCAAGGAGATGGCGACGGTCAAGCCGATGAGGCGCTTGCTGCGGGCGATGGCGACGGCCGAGGATGCGATCTCGATCTGCATCTCCGAGTAGGCCGCCGCGGCGGCGACGACGACGACGCGGCGCCGACGAGAGCGAGGGCGACGGCGGCGACGCAAACTTGACGAGGACGGTGACGACAGCGACGACGACGACGCTGAATGTGGCGGCTTCAATGTTCTGCATGTAGTGCCATGCCCCCCCGCGCGGACGGCTGTCGGCTACGTCGCGGCACAGACCTCGCGGCTCCGCCGCGGCTAGGGGCGCCTCGTTGGAGCACAGCGCTGCGCGCTTGAAAAGCCAATTGTCTGACGCAGCGCTATGCGCATTAAATGCACAGCGCTATGCGCTTCAAATGTATGGCCTGGAATCTGGAATGCGGGCGCAGCGCTGTGCGCATAAAATGCACAGTCTGACGTAGCGCTATGCGCTTCATATGTACAGCGCTAGGCGCTTCAAATGTATGCCCTGGAATCTGGGGGTCAGGCGCAGAACTACGTGCTTAACATGCGTAGTCTGAAATCTGGGGCAGTGCGACAGCGCAGTGCGCAGCGCAGTGCGCAGTGCCGAAACAGTAGCGGCGGTGGCCACGTACTTGTGCCGCGGCGCGTTTTGCTTCCCGCCACCTTTGAATACCAATATCTCAAGGCAGTCCGCCACCGATACCTCATCGTACTTCTCGTCTCATGTCTGAGCTCCACTCGGCTCAAGAGCGGCAGCGGCCACCATCGCTGACTGGTCCTGCTTCGCTGGGCGAATCTTCGCGGCTCCAAATGCTCGAGCCTAGATTGCCGAAGGGGGCGCGGGGAGGTTCATGTGTGAATCAGCTCAGCCTGGGCCTTTTTCAGGGCGGCGGTTCGGGGGGGGAGATCCTCATTATCATCATCATCATCATCATCATCACCATCATCATCATCATCGCCATCGTCATCGTCATCGTCATCATCATCATCGCCATCACCGCCACGCATTCATTCACTCACTACACAGCCATGTGTGCATTGCGAGGAAGTCTCAAGCGGGAGCCCCTTCCCTATGGGACACGCGGCTCAGGTTATTATTATCGCGAATTATCATTTCAAGCGCAGTGCGCTGCCCCTACTCGCGGGCAACATTGCATTTATTCCGTGGCCGTCGCGCTTGGCTCAGCTCGTCGACCGCGATCGGCAAAGCGCGCGGCGTCGGCGGCGACCTCCGCTGCAGCGATGGAGGTTCTCACGGCCCATTCTGGTCAAGCTGAGAAAAGCTTTGCAGAGCTGGTGTCATCGCTCAACGACTTACCCACCTCTACCGCAGGCCCCGAGGCAGGGCAACGCCCCCCACCCCTACCGAGGCTGGCGGGCGCCCCCATGACGCTCGGACCAGTGCCCGAGTGCACGCGAAGCCTGCAGAACAGGAAGGCAGAGAATTCGATGTCGAACGATGCACTGCACGAAGTCGAAGCCACGATGTCAACAAGGGGAGAACTCTTGACTCGAGTCGGTCAGCCGAAGGACAAGGAGGTGAGGCAGCAGGTCTCTGTGCCTGCACCCCTGCAGCAGAAGCTGGTCTAGTCACTGGCCAGTCACATGCCGCAGGCAAAGACTGCGGAGGCATGGCACGAGCCGTTGAAGCCGGACCTGGTCTCGGGGCAGAAGTGGGTCCACGAGGGCCAGGCGCGCCACCGTGAACAGCGGGCGCAGGGCGACGAGGCGCAGGGCGGGAAGTGGGGCGAGCGGCGGGGCGAGGCGCAGGACGAGCGGGACGAGCAGTGGGGCGAGGCGCAGGGCGAGAAGTGGGACGAGCAGCAGGCGAGGCGCAGGACGAGAAGTGGGACGAGCAGTGGGGCGCAGCAGGCCGAGAAGCAGAAATGGCCCGCGGACGAGAAGGAGCAGCGGCTCAGCTGGAGGTGGGGCGAGGAGCATCAGGCGCAGAGGCAGAAATGGCCCGCGGACGGATTGAAGCGGGATCAGCAGTGGCTCCGCTCGGGGAGGGATCGAGAGCAGCAGGCGCAGGTGGTGAGAGGGGGCCGCGGACCACGCGGAGAGCGAGTGGGGGGAGCATGCCGATGAGCACTTGCAGGGGTCCGTGCACAAGGCCCAGTACTACGCCTGCGACGCAGAAGCAAGCATATGGCAAGCCAGGCCGCCAACTTTGAATGCGTTCGAGTGGCAGCGCCGGCGTCAGGAGCAGGCTACGGCGCTTGAGGCTGCATCCAAATGGCATCAATACCATGCCTGGCAGGCGACTGGGCAGTGGCACGCGGCTACGCCTTCAAACGTGGGGTGGGTGAGACAAGTGGGAGCTAATGCAGGACGGACTTCGCAAGGGCGATGCTGAGACATGGGCGTGCGCGCATGAGCTGATGCGTCTGTGCTGGGCGACGTCTTCGGAGGAAGGTCATGATGCTGCACAGCTGCCGATGATGCCACCACAATACTGCTGAGAAGAAGGCGGCGGAAGAGGCGGCGGAGGAGGCGATGGCGGGGAACAAGTCCACGAACCGCGTCAGAAGAGGCAGAGGCAGCAGCGCGGTGGCAGGTTCAAGGATTGGCAACATGCCAAGCATGCCGCGGACAGACAAGGATGGCTGGCTCAGTTCTTGACAGAGATCCCCGACCCGCGGAGGCGCATCTAGATGAGGCGCAGCCGTAGGCCTGCTAATGACTTAGCGCGTGCGCTGTATTTATACTACTTAGCGCCTGCGCTATAATATGCGTGCCGCGCTGCACTATAAGAGCGCAGGAAAGCAAGGTGGCCTTCCCAGCGCTTTGCGCCGTAATCCTAACCTCGCCCCTCCCGAGCGCACCGCGCTGCACTCCTGGGCCCATGCCGCCCGACGGCGGCGACGAGGAAAGGGGCGCGGGCGAGCGAAGGGGTGGATGTTTCTAAGAGGAGGTTAGGCGTGAGGAAGAGCTGGAGCTCGGAGGACACCGCAACGCGCTCGGGATCAGAGAATGGGATATGAAGGGCCCAGGCTAAGCGCTAAACGCTAAGCGCCAAGCGCTACGGGGAGGTGGGGTCAATCATTTTCCCTGCTGGCGAAAAGCAGCGCTAACGCTATACCTGCGCAGCGCGGCGCAGGCCGCCGGCGGCCCGATCGCTCCGCCAGCATCGCTGAGTAGCCGCATCACTTGCACCCGTCTGAGACCCATTTCCTCGCCGCCGACATCGCCGCATCCATCGTCTTGAACTCGCCGCCCTCTGCTTCTCCCCATCGGAAGCCCTTGTGCAACATCCCGCCTCTCTCTTTCGGAATCTACACTTGCGCATTCTCGCGCGAGTGCTCCACGTCGAACCGCGCCTTGCGGGTCTCCAGACTCGTCTGGCAGGCGTATGGTGCTTGAGCGACTTGGCAGGCGTGCGCGCGTTCTTCTTACTCTTCACGAACTTCCGCGCAGCTGCAGCAGCTGCATCAGCGCCCCTGCCGCCCTCGTCGGCGCTAGCGTCAGCTAGGGCGAAGAACTCATCGCTGCGAGACCGCCTCGCGCTGGATTGCACGCGCCCGTCGTCGATCTGAAGACGGCGTTGGCCGCGCATGGCGCCTTCCAGGGGTGGCCCGCAGCGCCTGCCGTCAAAGGGCGCCAGTCTCCCCATCATCATTGCATCCAGTAGGCGGTCTCGTCGATCCGTTTGCCGCTGGAGCTCCCGCGAGAAGCAGTTCGCCACGCCCTGCGACTGGCGGTCCAGTACGCCGCCAGGCAAGTGCAACATTGGCACGTCAAGTGCTCTCGCCCCGCTGCCTCTAGACTTGAATGTAGCGGCCATCGTTTCGACCATCGCAGTATCGATGTTGCTCGAAACTTGCAGCGCCCCGTCGGCGTAGGCTCGGGCGAAGATCGCGGGGTGCTTCCCCTCGCGCTGCGACGGGGGCAGCAGCGGCGCCTCGATGATCTCGACGGGTGTCTGCGCCTTCCGCGCCCGAGCTTTCCAGGCGCTCTTGCGTGCGTCAAACGCGTGGATCTTCTTCGCCTGGCTGATGTGCGCTTTCATGTCCTCTGTCTGCAGGATCGGGCATGCCGACAGCATGCGCCACGCATCCTCCGATGGCGCCCTCGCCCCCATGGCCGCCATGCGGTTGAAGAGGGCCTTCCTGACTTCTAGCGGCAGCCCCCGCTGGTTCGGCATGGCGCCCCACTCGGCCTCTGTGAAGTAGCTGAAAACCGCCCTGAAATCCTGTATCGGATTCCGTTTCTTCTTCTCCTTCTTCTTGACGGCGGCGTTCGGGGACTCGACCACCGCGGCCCAATCGCTTGCAGCGAAGCCCAATTGCGCTGCTGAGTCCATCAGATCTGCCGCCTCAGTCGAACACAGGGTGGCCGTCGCCGGGCTCGCAGACGATCTGAACGCGTTCGCCTGGGCCCCAGAAGCGGCAGCGCGCAAACTCGCTGGGACTTGCTGCAGAAGCGGATTTGTCGCCCCACGGCGGGCCCGCAGATTCTTGTTCGGACCCCCGTGGCGTCGCGGCCCTCGGCCTGGCTCGGCCGGCCGCGGGCGCCGCCCTCAACGAGTCGCTGGCCCCGCGCGGGCCGCGCGGCAGCGCGTGCGCGATCGAGCCAAAACGGTGGCAGCGCGCGCGACAGCGCTGCGCGCTAAAGAAAGTGGACAGCGCCATGCGCTTGCGGGGGCGAGGATGAGGAGGGGGAGGAGGAGGAAGAGGGGGGGGGGGGGGCGGAGGAGGAGGAGAGGAAGGAGGAGAAAAGGACAGCGCCATGGCGCTTATGCGCGGGGAAACGAGCGAGAAACACAACTGGGGCGCAACGCGCGTAATTGAAGCGGAGCGCGGCGCGCCTGAAATCCAGAATGGAGCGCAACGCGCTTTTACACTCGAGCGCAAAGCGCGCGATTCAACTGAGCACATGAAAGCGCGAAGCGCATGATTGAATTCAAACAGGAGCGCGATGCGCTTGGATGGTAGGGGCGCGAAGCGCATGCAGCGCAACGCGCATGGCAAGCGCTGGCATCGCAAAGCGCTGGGCAACAAACACCAGAACGACGCGATGGGGGGCAGACGTGACGCAACAACATGCAAACAAAAATGGCTGGCCAGAAAATTACAATCTGCATTCGCAGCGCATTTTTTTTTGTAAATTGTAACATTGCAGGAATTAGCATGGTTAAAGATAGGTGGAAGTTAGGGGATAGAGTGGTTGAAGATAGGGGACGTTAATTTTCAAGAACAAAACATATGAAAAGCTATCTTCCACAACTTCAACCGAACTTCCACAACTTCAACAGAACTAGTTGTGGACATCTCAGTAAACTAGCCTTTAAATTGCTTCGTTACCCCCCCTCTGGCGGCTCGCTGGCGCCCGGAAGCGCCGCGCGCGGGAGTTCCGGGCCAGGCGGCGCCAGCGCGCTTTGCGAACCTGGGCCGGCCGCGCTGGCGCGCATTATTATTTCAAGCGGGGCCGCGCCGTCGCGCGTTGCAAATCCGGGCCCGGCCGAGCTGGCGCGTTTTGCATGTCCAGGCCCGGCCGCGTTGGCGCGCGCAAATTCGGGCCCGGCCGCGCCAGCGCGTTTTGCAAATCCGGACCCGGGTCGCGCCAGCGCGCGCAAATCTGGGCCGGCCGCGCCACTTCTCGCGGACCCCCGGGCCCGCCAGAGGTCCACCCGGCCAGCCGCCGGCGGGCCCGCGGCGGGTCGCGGCGCCCCCCCCCCAGAGGGCCCACGCGGCCCCCTGGCGGGCCCGGGGGGCGCCCCGAAATTGCTTCATCAGCGAAATGATTCCTCCGCCCCCGCCAAGGGCCCAGACTCGCCCATCCTAACTGCGCGCTATGGCCTGGCGGGCGGGGCTTCGCCATTTGCTCGGGCCCGGTAAGGAAGCTGCAACCGGGCCGCCCTGTAGACTGCAAGAAGACGCCAGCGCCGCGACCCTGCATTTATGGCCCCCGACACTGCGCGCTTGTTTCGCGCAGTGCGGCCCCGCGCCTACGAACCTCAAGCAATGCGGCGCGGCGCGACGCGCTCGGGACGGCCGCGGCACCGATGGTTGCAGCGCGACACATTTGCAACGCGCGTCCTGATCAACCCGCAAATTGGCATTGATATGTCATGTCTACGTTGGGAAAACTATTTCCTACTTGACACTACTTTGAAACTACTTGTCCGACTTAAACCATTTAGTTTCTAAATACTTCTAGATTGGAAAACTACTTGTTCCTACTTTCCTTTTTTCAATGCCATATTGATCAACATGGCTGGTTGCTGTCTAAGGACTCGCAGTCACAAGCCTAGCTCTCCCAGCTTGACATATAGTCAAGGGAAAAAAAACCTTCACTGACAGCGGAGGGAGATGTCAGTGAGCACAAAATAATCACTCGGAATCATCCTCCGGATGTCTCTGACCGATAGCTGCGAAGCGTGGCTGCGAGCCCTCTTCTGCGCCGAGATTAACGGCAACAGCGAACGGCAATTGCGCGTCCGAGCTGGCCGCCGGGCTAACCCAGGCGCAGGGTCGCCAACGAAAAAGTAAGCGTTGAAGCAAGGAATCAAGGTGCCGGCGTCGACCGGAACTCCAAGCTTCTGTCTGATGTAGTGATTGCGACGCCCCTGACTAAGCGCGCTCCAGCCCACGCGGTGGGCGCGGGAAGCTGGCAAGCAGGAGGTGGAACGTAAACCCCTGATCCGCTGTCCGTTGGAATGGCACTTGCACCGAGTGCAAATGAAAAGGGCGGGTCCATCGCTGCAGTCAAAGGCAACGGCGCGGTGATTCAAAGCATCTTGCGAGGCAGCGCGCAAAGTATAACGCCCTGAACAAGGAGAATTCGGAGGCTGCTCCGCATGAGGCCCTCTCAAACACACAACAGTCCTCCTGATGCCTCCGCAATGCTGCCATGTGTGTGGGGGGTGCGACAGGCGGCGGAAGAAAGGAACTCTTGCTTGCCGACTTCGGACAACTCGAGTGCCGGCCAAAGGTGCGAAACGTGAGCCGCGAGCCGAGTCGTGGCCCGTGCATGCTTCACCTCCGCGTCGGCCCTAGCCAAGGCGTCGGGGTCTGACGGGTGACGGGCGCAAGCGCAGAGCGTGCTTGGCCGCCGCGTCAGCGTGCTGATTACCTCCACGAAGCCAGCGCTCCTGGGAAGAAATGCCAGGCTCGTCGACATCGCGATGCGCGGCTAACTTCGCACACTCCGCGGGGGGCGGCCTGCCCTGGAGGTGCGACTGGACGAAGGCCCCAGCGTATGCCTCGTAGCCTGAGAGAGCTGCTCTACCTTCGATCTGCACGCCTGTCGGACGACATTCAGACAGCCGGAATAAGCGCGAAACTCTGCAGAAGCCATTCAGACATTCAGATATGTGGAATAGGCACTCAGCCCACGTGAAACACCCGAACTCGGCGCACTGCGCCGACTGAGGGCAAGGGGCCCAAATGGGGGCTCTGAACTCGCAAACAGAATCTCCGAAACTGTCAACTTGAACAACGCTGCACGCAGCCCTGGATAGCTCCCTAACTGGATGACGCGAACAGCTACCGTCCATGAACAACGAGCCCCACAGCTCGGTGCCAGGAGCGTGACCATCTGGGTGGAGGGAGTCCTTGTGGTGGCGCACATGGATGGGACCACCATCGCAATCTGCGCAGGGTCTGGGTTAGCTGTCGGCGGGGTGGCGGAGCGCCCCAGAAGAGAACGCGAA